GATTTCAAATCTCACCATGCTACAAAGTGGGACTGTACTGTACATTTATGAAGATATACGTTCTCGTTCCGGCGAAGTTCTCGCGCGGAATTAAGGAAGGCTTATTTGTGATCGCGGCTGAGAAGCTTTCAGCAAAAATCCGGATCAAAGTTACGAGCCATCCGGGAGCTACATAAACTCGTTAAGAGCTAAGCGAAATGAGATACCGCGACGTGCTACCGCGCGCCCTTCAAATCAACGCGCGCGTCACCGCGACGCTCAGGCGTAAGCTCGGGACCGAGGGCTTCGGCGACGAAGAAGTCCGAGGACGCGTTTTACGAGAACAAGACCCCAGAGAAGGAGTGGAAAAGTTAAACGTTCGCAAACTTTCCGCCGTTCCCCCTCGCTCGTGATCCCGCGCTTGTCGTTCTTATCCACGTTTCTCCTTTCGTCGAACGAACGATTCGTCCCGTTGCCGGCGATGACAACGACCTCGGGCTCGGACGGGCTCATTCCGTCGCCGGGCTGCGTTGTGCCGAGCGAGAAATCGAAGACAAACAGGCGGGATTCCCCGCGATAGTAAAACCGCGGACGGGATGGGAGACGGTGTGTTTCTGGATTTCCAATACATCCAGCTCGCCCTGCGACCCATGCTTCGACACTCCGTCGGCCGCTTAAGAAGAAGGGAGCAATGGAGGAAGCAAGGGGTGAGGATCATTTCGATAGGGTGCGCGCGCGCGCGTACTATGTTACCGGTTTACTTTATGAGGCAGCAATTCCCATTTCGTATCATAAAGTTGTTTTCCTTCGTCTTGGCGGTATCACGCGGATGTGGCTTCCCCGAAGCGCGCCATGGAGACACCGACCACGAGTCATTGTTAATGTTTATAGTTCTTGCGTATCGATGATCGTCTGATGAATGTACTCCGACACGGTGCTACGGCGAATTGCAAAGCGTCCAGCTCTATCGTGGACAAGCGCGAATTGCGATCGAGGGGATTTTATGAGCCAATCCTTGCATGTGGCTTCAATATTTCAGCGAATCCGTTCGAAATGCACTCGTCGCTTCGCGCTTCATCCTCGCGAACGTCTCGCGCTCGATGTTTCACTGGTACACGCGAACGTCACGTTTTAATGTCACAGATAACAAATAGTTACGATTTGCTATGTGTTCGTTCATTATTTGTACTAAAGGAAAATCAATAACTTGAAAAAAGTAGGATATTTCGTTAGAGAAAAACATCATTTTATAAGGAGAGTTAACTGCATATTCGGTTCTTTAAATATAGACAGGTAGTTACAAATTGTGACACCTCGATAAATTTTGCAACGTATCTCAATGTTTTAGTTCACCAATGGAAAAATATATATTACCTAAAAATTACTGACAAACGATCGAATGAAAGGAATGCCCAAATTAATGATCAAATAATCTCACAATTAAAAATAAAATAATTACAGATATGTTGATCTAAGTGTACAAAATTAATTTTGTAGAAAAGTTTGAACGTTTGGGGTTTTAATTATGTTATATTTTTTTTTAATTTGTGTGAAAAAAGATTTTAATTTATTTGTAATACTTTCTCCAAAATGACTGAAGCACCATTTAATGAGCACGACAGTTTGGTTTTGAAGAAGTTAGATAACTGTACAGATGTAACAAACAAACGTTTATTTGATAACAACCATCAACTTTTAAGATATCGGTAACTTTTCAAATTTCCGCTGTCAGCGATACCTTTATTAGCAGACTCATTAGGAAGCATGTCGAAACTGTCACAAATTAGGACATTGTTATTAACTGAGGCATTCACATTACGGGATGCGTTGCGAAATTCACCGAGGAGAAGGATAGCAAGCAGTCTTTAGTCATCTGGCAGCACGCGAATGGTCGAAATTGATATCACTAATATTGGCGAATATCACGCAGACAAAATATTTTGTGCCCGCGTATTTCTATCGCCATTTAGCGTCGGAGCGTTTCGCACGACGAGGAGGACGCATTCGATCGAACCTGGCCTGATCGTGGTTGATATTCCGTTCGTCTTATACGACCACGTTCCGTTGACCAGCACTTTCGAAGAGTACGCTACGTGCGCATCTAAGCGACCCACATACACAATATACACAGCTATGTGTGTTGCGCCAAGTACGTATTCTCAACTTTTACCGGCACTCACTGCCGTTTGGTCTCCCGAGGATCTCGTCAAATAAAAACGCGCAGACTCGAAATTGCATTCAGACTTCGGCTTCGATTCGAGTGCAATCTTTCGGCGCTCACGTACTCTAAGTAAATACGAGGATTTGGCTTTAATAGTTTTCCAGTTTTCACCTGGGGCGAAGTATATGGTTTTTAGCGAATAACAATGTTTCGGTCAGAAGAAAGAACACCTGGCATATCTAGTCAATTACGGCGAGCCACATTAACCCCGTTGCGTACAAGTCTTGATGTTAGCACCATGACGTAAATTTTGACCGATCGAGAGATATATAACGTCATCATTTATAAATATCACGAGAACCTCCAAGAACTCGTAAGTGAGCATTTTGAATTGTATGTATGTGTCAGAAAGGCTTATTATTATTATTATTATTATTTCAAAAATGTATCGCTGTTATCTTAATTGTGGTGGTTCCAATTGCGAAATCAGTACCGTGTGATTCCAACATCGAATCCATCATAGGAAAGGTTAATCGGCATTAGGGGAGGTTGAATTATTAATAAAATAATGTCATTTAATGAGGAAATTTATGTTGCACATATACACACACACATATACATTCTACTAAACGTTACGATGTATCGGAATAAAGCCCGGATAATTTAAGAGAACAGGAGGGAAACGATAATATATGTATATTTCTGATGGCATTACGGCATGCTCCGACGCTCAGCAGATGATACCGAGAGCTATTATACTGCTTTAATAACGAATGAAAATGCCACACATTCTCATCGTTTAATTAATTTTTTCCGGCTCGAATGTGACAGCGGGGAGTATTTAATTACTTCTCTACACGCCGGCGCGTAACTTTTATGTAATCGTTAGCACCGTACGGATTCACACGGTAACGTTAAAACATTATGACGGCTTATGCGGGTGAACCTATTAAAAAAATATTATCATAATCACGATGTAATGTCAGCTGTTATCCCGCGCGGCTTAGTGAAATGAACCAAAAATCTCTCTTTTCCGTGTTCGTATTTTGCGGAATTACCGTAACTAAAATAAAACATGGCTTCGCGCACAAACAAACGTAAATCCATGATGTCACGGAGCGTATTGGTAGCGAATATCGGCTGAACTTTCTGAACGGATATATACGCAAGCACATACGCGATACGAACTGTGTTATTTTATTCGAAATATTCCCGATACGCCTGAATATATCACGAAACAATTTTTATACACAACGATCTCATATACAAGTGTATTTACTAGTTAATAGGATAACTTCCGTTAGAGCATATGAAATTTCTGGCTACAATCGGGGGTCACACGTCACTTTGGATTTCGCTTCATCATCGAAATTTCACGCGCGCCAAGACGAAGTTGGCGCGTTTAAAAAATCTTGAACAAAGTTTTTAATTGCAATCTCATCACAGGTACGTTCTTTAATTATTTACACGCGGCTCACCTGCGGACTTGCGCGCGCGCGCGCGCGCGCGCGAGTGTAACGCGCGGAAGATGAATGTGCGAACTGCATTATTTAAGTGTAGCCCTAGTTTATTTGTTTCAACGAAACGTAACTACGTTAGATTAAAGAAACGCATTAGCCGATGCACGCCGCCCGGCTTGCCGGCTTTTTAGCGAGTCGTCAAAAGTCATGCTCTAACAGAAGCGTGTAAATAATGCGATAATGAATGCGTCACCGTCGTAATGCGTTTTCACGTTAATGCAATGTTGACTGTAATAATTAAATTTAGAAAGGTAGAGAGAGAGACTGCGAGATAGGGGTAGTTAGCCGAGACCTCTACAATGCGGCCAAAAGACAATGTGACAATGTGACTCGGTGGCATGCATTGTGCCGTTCGTTAGATACCAATCGAGCACGCCAACGATGTACACCGCGCACGATCGGCGCCCTGCGAGTCGCGTTTCAATTTGTAACTCGTCGACGCGCAATCGCTCGCATCCACAGGATCTGCGGGAATAATTTCGCGCCGTTTAGCTCGAGGCTGCGAGCGGAAAAATTAATCGGCCAGAGGAAACCGAGTGGGTCGAATTGGTCGAAGGGTCATGCTTGCCACGGGGTTTATTTATGTCTCTTGTAAAAAAAAGAAAGTGAAATAGCATAGTGTCTTCTTTTGGTATGTAAGTACTTTTCCCTAAAGTTTCATTAAAATCGAAAAAAATTTCATTAAGATCGGGAACAAATTCCGTACGTCTCGATATTTCACGTTAACCTGAATAATAATACTAAGTGCTTCCCGGACTGATGTAATTTCCTCCAAAATACAAAATTATGGATGGAAATCATGTTAAGAATAAAACAAAAAAGAGAACGATGATTACAATTTACGATGAGCGTGATTTAATAAATTTTAAATCGAGTTTTTGATACGATAGATGTATAGATGATAATAGATAGTATTACTCAAACGTATAACAATGTGTTTTCGCTAAAGTTGATATTTTCCATCGTAAGTGAACAGATTCAAATGTCGCGTTAATAGTTAGATTGAAAATTTTCTTCATATACATGATACACGATATTTCGCGCAGTAAAGTAAGCAATTTAATACCAAGTAAGGTAAATAATTTATCTCGTTTCACCTGACATATCCGAAATTATTTATCACATATTAAGCCAATATTTATAGACGGTCTTCGGTCTTACACGCCAGTTCGGTTTCTGCCGAATTCTGCCAATTCCAATCGCGCGTCTAATAATCATGTTTGCGTGACGACAATGTCTAACGATTAAATGATTCTTCAAGATGACGACGTTATCGTTAAAATTACAAGATAGTCCACGACAACGGCTTACTCTGTGAGAAAAAATCCAATCAGACTCACCGGTAACCTTGATGTGGTAGGGCAACTGGGCGCGCCACGTGTCCTGCATTTTCCGATCGGGCGCTACGCATCGGTACTCGCCGGCCTCTTGATAAACCACGCGACCAAGAGCGAGAGGTCCGGGCCCACCAACCGGATCCATCCCGGGGCCGTGACCCCAACAGCCGCCGTCGCACTCGAGGGTCACCGCTCCGCCGATCTGCACCTCCATCCTTCGGGAATCGGTCGCCTCGCCGTTCAGCGCCTCCGCCTCGGTCTCCATATCTGGATTATCTAAATGCCATTGATTTAAATCTCTCGACGAGCGGCGTACTCGAGATTCGGACTTAAACCTGTGTAATATGCGTCCATACACCCTCCCCACCCTCCTCAAGCTTCACCCTCCTCAAGCCGTTACCACGATCGCGTCGAGCGGGCGGATGTGGCTACGAGTAAGCCGCAATGTGGATACAGCGCTCGCCTGAAACGGCAGTTTCAGACTTTCGCCCCTCGCCGCACCCGCGACACCATCCCACTGTACTTCGCGAATATGGGAGAGGACGCGGTGAAATATGCGATTCCGCGATAAAAGTAACGCCCCGAAATGAAATTCTGAATTTCATGCCCTCGCGTCTCTGAGAAAGCGGCGCTCGCGCTCTGTACAACTGTTATCACATGTGTACCTTGTCTCTCGATATCGGAAATACGGCCGCATAAACATCGCCCGCCATGCCGGGAGAAAACGTCAAAGTGTGCACACATATGTATACCCCGCGCATCCTCGCGACTTTGGAAAGACTCACGGCGTACTTATCTCCCGCCGCTGCCTCGAATCGTCGGTTTAATATCGCCCGACCGTCCCGTCATCGATATCGAGGAATTATCCTGCTATCGGAAATCAACGGCACGTACGGGGGATAAAGTTGAGTCGGAATCTCCGGCCCTCACGTCCCGGATCCGACGAAATCTTTTCTCCGCCGTACGTCGCGACGTACCGCCAGTTTCAACTTCCACCCGGACCACAACCCCTCCTCCTACCCTGTCTGTCCCTTCCCGATTCCACCTACGGAATTATACGGCTACGATCGTTTGCTCTGCAGCTAGCGCTGTGTCCACAGAGAAGCAAAGAGAAACAGAAAGAGATAGAAGAAGAGCGTGAGCGAGACGTAGAGGGGAAATGCAAGAGGAGAGAGAGAGAGAGAGAGAGAGAGACGAGCGGAAGAGTAGACGAGGGTGTACGGGGGTTGCTCGTGTCTCGGCCGGAGAATTAGAAGCGTACAGCTAGCGGTGAAATTCGTCTGAGAAAGAGAAAGAAGTGAAACGTTAGGGGGCGGGCGGGAAGGGGCGCAGCGGTCCTTTGAGTTAGCAAGCTGATCCTCCGGCTCATCCTATAGCAAAACAAAGGGATCAAAGTGGCGGATGCGATAGGAGGCTTTCACTTCCTCTCGCTCGCTCGACTCCCGACCATACCTCGTTTGTTTTGTAGTTTGTTCGGAATTTTACAGCAAACACCGGCGTGATGCCTTAACAAACACGGGGAGAAAGAGGAGAGCGCAGGGTAGAAACAGTCGGCAAGCGGCAATTTGACGTTTTCTGCCGGCCGGCAGAAACCATAGGCCACTACGCCCTCGCCATCCGACAACCCTCGTTACCTCCGAATTTGATCTATGTCTCTTCTTGCGGCGGCGGTCCGTGATCGTTCCAAATCTTAATGCGATTCGCGTGCGCTAACGTGATTAAGGATCCTCATATACTCGTCCGTCCGTGATCGCGTTATCTCTAATTACTTTAATAGGCCTCTCGCGTTTCCGTAAATTCGATTACGCGCACCTAAGATATCCCACCGAGCCAAATTCCTTCACCCCCTGCCCACTCCCTTCGACTTACGAGGACGGCGAGCACAAGTTGCTCCTGATTAATCGCGCTCGAAGTGGCGCTTGGATAGCGGGTGGCTTGGATGATGTATGGAAAGCGATGCAAATTTTTGCGTCATTCGCACACCGGCCGGAGAATGAAAAATCTATTTGCGCGCGTCGAACAGCGCGCGCTGGTCACTGCCGATCTCAGTTAGGGTGTCCCTTTAAACTACGCCCTATCTGCAGCCTGTCTACAAGCCGGCGAAATTAGCGCGTCGGTTTAAACCCGTCGTGACGTTATCCGGCGGATAAGTAATCCGGGAGGAGATTCGAACAGGACGTGGTAGCAGTGTAATCGATAATTCCCACGAAGGAAGACGGTTGGTTTATAGGCGCTCTCGAGCCATCTAAATTGCGTAGAGATTAGGTGCTCGGAAACCCGTATCCAGCATCGTCGGTCGAAGGAGCGGACAAGAAAGAGAGAGAGAGAGAGAGAGAGAGAGAGAGAGAGGGAGGGAGGGAGGGACAGAGATGGGGATGGAGAAGAGGGTTAGATAGAGAACGGGAGTAGAGAGAGACGAGAGCCGCGGGTTTGAGATGCAGGGAGCGCATCGCCCTCTGGTTATAATGGCAAGATGGAAGGAATGGGGCTAGATAGGAAATTTGCAAATTTTCACGACGAGGCACGGATAATTTCCGGTTGGCTGGGTGGTTTCCGCCCTTGACAAATGACTGTGGTTTCCGGTTATTGGCTGCTGCGACGATCCCCTTCGCATTCCGAATCAGGGAGAATGTACTCTTTGGGCGCTATCAAATGCACGGAGGGTACGGCGATACATCAGACGAAGGGCGCGACGCGTTGTCTTCCGTCATTGCTCGTCAATATTTTTTTTTCGCTGCGCGCTCGTGTTGCTTTAAATCACGCGTAGTACCCACTCTGAGAGGACGATTCGTAGAGCGACGATTAGCCGCGTGAAACGTGGTGTTTCGAAAGTTTTGCAAGTCGATCCTTTGTACTGCAAGCGCCAGCTTCAGTGTGCATGTTTTCTTTCTTTTTGTGTAGTTGGCTTTGCGAATTGTGCGGAATGTGCGAAATTCTATCCCTATATATGCGAACTCAGTCGGCAGTGACAATAAAGTTATATCACTCTGCGTAAAAAATTACAAAAAACTATAATTGACTGTGAAGAACTTGTCAGGGGTGGATAATTTTCATTTCACTTTCGCAATATTTACGAGTAAAATGTCAACGTCGCGCAAAAATTTGCGGAACGCAAAGAGTTAAGCTACAATACGTCAAACAGCACGTCAACTGTACATTCGCATACGATGCTCGTATCGATAACATTCATCCAGTCTTGCTCGACTGGAAACCGCTCTCCCGCGAGTTGAACGATGAAAAATATCTCTGACGTTTCATTAGAGGGATATCTGCCGCGCTAAATGAGGTATTTATTAACTCGGTATACTCTCCTGAATCGCGCGAGAAATCCTAACTACGCTATTAAAAGCGACAAAGTGGCGCGACAACGATTTACTCACAGCGAACGTTGAGAAAATATCCGATGCTGGTGAAAATGCCGAGCATATGCCGCGTGTAGCACTTGTACCAGCCGCTCTCGGCCCGAGTGATTTTTGTGAAGTTCAACCATCCGTCATCGCTCTGCTCCACGGGAGGCGGACCATTGTCTGAAACACAAGCGGAAAGCTGCTGGATATACGAATTAACGCGCTGGAAACAGCACGCACGGTCCGCGGATTTGCGTTAACGTCGTCGCAGTTCGCGTCAGCCGAGCGAGTCGCGGCTAGCAGGCGGCACTTCACTGACGATTCCGCGACATTTTTCACAGGGACACCGCGCGCGCGTGGCTACATGCACACAATTCGGCGATTAACTGCCTGCGATCGATCGCCATCCGCAGCTAAACGTGGCTAAAGAATCAAACGAGATTGAGGTTTCCGAATTTTCGCTTTGCACATTTCTCCGCGTCAAACATCACCAATCGGTCTCGTGTGTGCGTGCGTAATAAATAGGATAGGATAAACTTGGCAGACAGTCTGTTCCTACACTATTAGCACGCATGGTAAAATTGAAAAGAATTCCATACGAAGAAAAAGCTCCACTGTTCTCTCTCTCTCTCTCTCTCTCTCTCTCTGTAACACGCTGATAAGCTAAGGAAATTCTTCCTCGGCGAAAGATAATGAATTATTTTTTCCGCTTTAACAACGGTCAATTATTATATTACTCGCTGATACAAATGTACACAGAGATAATCAAACGACGACGAGCCATTTCTCGAGGCAATTCCATCGCGAAAAGCGCAGCGCTTCAATCGTTTCGATCAAACTATTATTATCGACTTACCATGCTATTCTAAAACGATGTCTTTCAGTCCGTCGGTTGATTTAATTACGCTTACTATGAAATGTATCGCTTTTATCGCGATTAAGAAAGAGCTTTTCAGTGGTTTGATGCTATTAAAGTTGCATCAGCCAGTTTGCTTTCAACGACCTCGACCGAAAGAGAAACAGAGAGCGAGAGAGGTAGATAAAGTGAGACAGAGTAAGACAGAGCAAGTTATTTGCGCGAATTACTCGCGAAATAACAGAGGTGATTGCGCAATATGTCCGTCAGTTCGAGATGTGACATGTTGTCCGGTGATGAAATCAAGAATTTATTACCGATCGAGCATCGCGGAGGAGAATAAAGAGCCATCGGGTTTCGTGAAGAAAATAACGGAAGCGGGAGGAATGACAGGAGGGAGGGAGAGAGAGAGAGAGAGAGAGAGAGAGAGAGAGAGAGAGAGAGAGAGAGAGAGAGAGAGAGAGAACAAGCGTAAAGGGAAGACCAAAAGGGAACAGTCGTCCGACTTATTCATAAGTACGGAAATGACTTTGAGAAGGCCGATATCCATGAACATCCTGCTGGCCTTCCCTTTGCGCGAAACTTTTGCCGGTCCTATTTCTTTCTCTGCTTTTTCGCCGTTCCGCCACCAAACACCCACACTCTCGCCGCAGCTGCTCTCTCTCTCTCTCTCTCTCTCTCTCTCTCTCTCTCTCTCTCTCTCTCTCTCTCTCTCTCTCGCCGACCTCGTTACGGCAAAGCCGAGGATTCGACGCAGCTGTCGGAATCGAGCTAGTAGAAAGTGCACCGCTCTCGCGAATGCTGAACTATCCCGCGAGGAACAATGGAAGAACGCAGTCAGAAGACACGCTCACGAGAGGTGGAGGACTGTAGCGGGGGGGGGGGAGGGTGGCTGTGCTGGAAGATCGCAGGGATAGGAAATGCGAGGGGACCGAGAACACAGAGGACGAAGAGGATTGCACGTATCGCTCGCGGAAGGAGTTTTGCGGTGAAACTTTTACGCGAGCCGGCCATAACCGCGCGTAGAGGACGTGGGCAAGGGGTGGGCTACCCTACCGAAGACTGGAGGCAGCTTTCTTCGCTAACGTTGCCAAAGCACGGCCGATTGTGTTAACAGTATTTATTGCCGCGACTGGCTCGTCGGTGAGACGCGTCGTGCCGTTTCGTATGAAATAGCATCGCGCCGTGACTTGGTCCAAAAAGCACGACATTTCCGGTAAGCTCGGCCGGGATTCCGGCAATTTGGCTAGGAAACAAACGAAGCCGACTCCAAGTGGATTGGAGAGGCGGGTGCTGCCTGCCCCGCGCGACCTGCGGCGCGAGGAATCCTCTGTCGAAATAGCGCGAACAAAGAGGGCTGGTTTACCGCAAATCGAGGATCGCGAATCGCGATCTGGCCGCGCAGTTGCGCTTCGACCGCACGTCGATTCTTCGTTGACGCATCGTTAGTCACAGGTGAGCAAGACTTTTTCAAAGAGAACTTTATTATCTATAATTTTGGAGATGTATCTAGAAGATCTTCAAGAATATTTACGTAATATTAAATCACCGAGTAACGATAAATTGCAATAAAAATGTTTGAAATGGCGATATTTCACAGTGAAATTCGGCGCTGACTCTTATGCGTGAGAATTGTGAATGTCATAAATTAATTTGTATCGATATTTTTACAAAGAAACATATTCTTCGAGATAATAATTTTCTTTTGATATTTTGATTCAGGATTTCGCATATGGTTGAGACATTTTCTGAAACATTTCTGAAACATTCTTTGTGTGTTCGTCCTGATCCGTCTGCAATAGTCATTAGAAGTTATATACGTACAAAATCGCGGAAAAATTTTTTTATAAATTGCTAAATTTAAACAACGCAAAAATAATTTCTGAAACATTATGTATTCTGTAGTAGAAACTCTGTGTTTTTTATATATTTGCAATTTCTTATTACAATAAAGGCCATAGGTTCAAAGATGGCGGGAAAATTTAAGAGTTACGTTCTAACTAGAAAGAAAGAGAGAGAGAGAGAGAGAGAGAAAGAGAGAGAGAGAGAAAGAGGGGAGGGGAGGGGAGATAATAATCTTTCATATAATAATAATAATAATATATAATAATAATTCTTAATTAATAAACTGTTTCTTATATTAATCTACCATGTTTCATTAATTTCTCGATCTAACAAAGAGAAGTTACGAAGTTTCGCAAAATCAGGCATCACTGCGCGTCGGCTGTGTCCATCTGAATTTTCTTACTTCCCAACATTTACGCGTCAGTTCATATTAATTATCGCGCATCTGTCCTTCTCGTGATTTTCTGATCGTCCCTGTCGGGCAACGGCGGAATTTGCAATTTCAACAAAAGCTCGCCAACAGTTCGTAACATCGCAAACTCGGACCATCCTCGAAGCGTTCCGCATACATTACACCCGCGTCCCTATATCCCTTGCATTGTGCACGATCCTCCGAATGAACACGATCGTATAGAGACCGACTTCGCTCCTCGGGCGATTTCATGCAGCTGACGCTCTCGTTTCTTCTTGCAAAATGTTTCTCAGTGCAACGCGTATCGGCGGTGATAGATAGATCGGGGGCGCGCGGGCACGCGCTCGCTCGCGCGTCAGAACGGTGATAAACGATTTTCGCCGTTTTTATTTCGGTATAGCCACGCGACAACACGCCGAGGTGTCCGGACGAAGGTGCACGGTTGGACGATTACATGTTATACGCGCCCGGAAATCCAAGCGGGATCACGTTGGCCGCCGCCGTCGCCGCCGCCGCTGCCGTCGCCGTGGAGCGCTTAATCGCTTAAACATTCGTTCACCACAAAGCGATTCGCAGCTTTGTGTGGCCATATCGTAAATTCGTGCGAGCGCGACTCGTTGCAGTACGAAGGAGGAGGATCAGGCGAGTCCGAATTTGCTTGGGTTGCCTCCCATAAAGGATGCTTTGAGGAGGAGAGTGAACGTGCTTTCTCGAGGCATGCGGATTGGGACGTTTAATAAGAGCAAGCGTACCAAAAAGAAATTGGGAATGGGCGGCGAAACCGGGGTTTGAGAGATAAGGGGACTGGCGAAGGGGACGAAGGGAGAGGGGGGTGGAGGGGGGGAAGGGAGAAGGTTAGCGGACGAAGGCATTGCCCGGAGCGGGTACGTGCTCCAAAGGATATTAAAGTATTTTAATTGCAGCGGATCTCGCGGAACGCTGGAAGGATTTATTCGAAATCACTCGATTGAGTCTATGAATAGGGATTAAGCTTGGCCCCGTCCGACGGCGGGCGCAGCCCGATGCAGCGCGCGCGCGCCGTCGAGCGAATTCCAGACGTCAGCAGAGGAAGGCAGAAATAATTGAATATTTAATAGGATAACTCACATATATACATATATATATATATATATATACATAGCCGTTTTCCCATCGCCGCGCGGCGTCATCCGTCACGACGACGGAACGTCGATTTTTCTGTCACGTCCCGTGCGCCGGTGGCTGCCGATTAATTATACAGTCTGCGCGGGCGTAATACGAAGACGGAACGACTTTAATAAATCTAGTTATTTCTCGTAGCACATGTAAAAAATTATTTCACCGATCCGCGCGAAAGGCAATGATTTTCAGTCTCGTCACGGGGATATCCCCCGGTGCGACGAAGTATTGTCGTTTTTGAATTGGAAGAATGCGCGCCAGACGTGTGCGTGTGTGGTGAGTAATTGGCGGGTAATTGTGTGTACATGCACACGTACGTGTATATGTGCTTTGTGTATCGACTATATTAAATTTAATTAATTTCGCAGCGTGGAATGTGGTCAGAATTATTCCTGTAAAAGATTAATAATTATATTCAGCATAATTAATATTACAAATGTATGATATAACTAATGGCGAGAGAGATGGTTCGTTTTATCGCGGTTCTCAAAGAACCATCTTTTACCGGAGATTATATCAATATGCGCATTCAAGCAGCAACACGAAGAGAATTTTATACTAAAAATTACTAAAAAATTTTGTGACCGAGGAATGTTTGTCGAATGTTCCGTCTGTATTTATTATTTTTCCGTTTGATATATGATATTTATACTTTTGAAACTGAATCGTTAAAAAATTCGCTATATATTATATCTCTCAGCAGGATAAGCTCTACCGGCAGCCTATTCTTGCATCGCTAGACAAAAAATATAAAAATGCGCAGAATTTGTGTAAAAAAAAATTGTGTAAAAAAAGAGAACTATAATTTTCTCCGTGCACGCGAGCGTAAAATATGCCAACTCGCGAATTTGGTAGCCTCTACCACTAAGAGCCGTATGATTTACACGGAGATTCAAAGAGGTACTAAAT